TAAAATCAATGCAAGAAATTGATTGCATTTCTATACACCAATAATGAAGAAGCGGAAAGAGAAATCAAGGGATCAATCCCATTTACAACTGCAACAAAAACCATAAAATATCTAGGAATAAACCTAATCAAAACGGTGAAAAACCTATACACTGAAAACTATAGAAAGCTTATGAAAGAAACTGAAGACACAAACAAATGGAAAAACATCCCATGCTCATGGATTGGGAGAACAATTATTGTTAAAATGTCAATTCCACCCAAGGCAATCTACATGTTCACTGCAGTCTGTATCAAAATACCACCAGCATTCTTCACAGAGCTAGAACAAACAATCCTAAAATTTGTATGGAATCAGAAAAGACCCCAAATAGCCAAAGCAATCTTGAAAAAGAAAACTGAAGTTGGCGTTATCACAATTCCAGACTTCAAGCTGTATTACAAAGCTGTAATTATCAAGACACTATGGTACTGGCACAAACACAGACACTCAGGTCAGTTGAACAGAACAGAGAACCCAGAAATGGACCCACAAACATATGGCCAACTCATCTTTGATAAAGCAAGAAAGAATATCCAATGGAATAAACACAGTCTCTTAAGCAAATGGTGCTGGGAAAATTGAACAGCGACAGGCAGAAAAATGAACCTGGACCACTTTCTTACACCATACACAAATATAAACTCAAACTGGATGAAAGATCTAAACTTAAGACAGGAAGCCATCAAAATCCTAGAGGAGAGGGGCGCCTGGGTGGCTCAATTGGTTAAGCGTCTGACTTCGGCTCAGGTCATGATCTTACAGTTCGTGGGTTCGAACCCCGTGTCGGGCTCTGTGCTGACAGCTAGCTCAGAGCCTGAAGCCTGTTTCGGATTCTGTCTCCCCCTCTCTCTTTGACTCTCCCCTGCTCATGCTGTCTCTCCTTCTCTCGCAGAAATAAATAAAACATTAAAAAAATTGTTTTAAATAGATTTTTAAAAATTAAAAAAATTAAAAAAAACCAAAATCCTAGAGGAGAAAGCAGCAAAAAACTCTGACCTCAGCTGCAGCAACTTCTTACTCAACATGTCTCTGGAGGCAAGGGAAACAAAAGCAAAAATGAACTCATGGGACCTCATCATGATAAAAAGCTTCTGCATGTCAAAGGAAACAATCAACAAAACTAAAAGGCAATTGATGGAATTGGAAAAGATATTTGCAAATGACAGATAAAGGGTTAGCATTCAAAACCTATAAAGAACTCAACAAACTCAACACCCAAAAAACAAATAATCCCAGTGAAGAAATGTGCAGAAGACATGAACGCTTTTTCCAAAGAACAGACACTTTCAAAAGAAGACACCCAGATGGCTAATAGACACATGAAAAAATGTTCAACATCACTCATCATGAGGGAAATACAAATCAAAACCACAGTGAGATACCACCTCACACCTGCCAGAATTGATGAAATTTAACAACTCAGGCAACACGAGATGTTGGCAAGTACACGGAGAAAGAGGAACCCTTTTGCACTGCTGGTGGGAATGCAAGCTGGTGCACTTTAGAAAATAGGTTCTAGAAAATAGTATGGACATTCCCCCCAAAATTAAAAATAGAACTATCCTATGACACAGCAACTGCACTACCAGGTATTTATCCAATGGGTGTAGGTGTGTTGTTTTGAATATTTACAGCAGTGCTATCAACAATAGCCAAAGTATGGAAAGAGCCCAAATATCCATCGACTGATGAATGGATAAAGATGTGATATGTGTGTGGAGCATATGATGCGCATGTGCCCGCACACACACACACACACATACATACACACACACATACAATGGAATGTTACTTGGCAATCAAAAAGGGCGAAATCTTGCCATCTGCAACAACATGGGTGAAACTAGAATGTACTATGCTAAACAAAATTAGTCACAGAAAGACAAATACCATATGACTTCACTCATATGTGGAATTTAAGATACAAAAGAGATGAACATAAGGGAAGGGAAGGAAAAATAATATAAAAAGAGGAAGGAGGACAAAACCTAAGAGACTCTTAAATACAGAGAACAGGGTTGCTAGAGGGGTTTGGGGTAGGGGGATGGGATACATGGGCAAGGGGCATTAAGGAGGACACTTGTTGGGATGACCACTGGGTGTTATATGTATCACTGGATTCTAGTCCTGAAATCATTATTGCACTGTATGCTAACTAGCTTGGATATAAATTAAAAAATAATAAGTGAATAAATAAATCAATAAATAACTATATTAAATAAAACAATGTTATCTGAGGGTAAGTGTTATAACACAGCTATGAATAAGGGCCAATGCTGAGTGTGGAATATGCACCTTTTCCAAGGAGGCTTCACATGGACTGAGAACTCTTCCAAAACGACTTAGGTTAGGGGGAGAGGAGTCACTGCAGGTAAAACAGCATGAACAAGGTACATCTTCTAGGTAGCCACAGTAGATCAATTTAGATGGAGCATATGAGGTGAACTGTGGGTAGCGGAAGGAGGTTAAGTTTTATACCTGTAAGGCTGATAAGCGGCTTATGTCAAACAATGAAGTCTGGGTTTTATTCCACAGACATCTACTACAGCTGATCATTTTCTCCTTAATACATCTGGCTTCCAGGACACCTGGCTCCTTGTTTTCTTCCAACCTCACTAGTGGCTCTTTCTTGGTCTCCTTTGGTGGCTCCTTCTCCTTGCCCAGTCTCAGTGTGGGAGGGTCCTAGAGCTCAGTCTTTGGATTTCTGGACTGGAATTCTCTCCCAAACTCCAGACTTTCTCATCCAACTGCCTAATGGATATTTTCACTAAGATGTCCAACAGGCACCTCTATTACATTTGCGATGTGTCTAGATGAACTCCTGATCTCCCCTCACAAGTTTCCCCAGCCCAGGGGATGGTAACTCCATCCTTCTAACTGTCCAGGCCCAAACCCTGGAGACATCCTTGGCTCCTCTTCTTTCATTCTATGCCTTATACAATCTTCCAGGAAATACTGTTGGCTCTACTTCCAAAAAAGTGTCCTCAATCTGATCATTTCTCATTATATCCACTGCTATTTCACCCAAGTTATCACCATCCCTGCTACAGTTCACTCTTAACACAGCCAAGTGATCTTTTAAAAATGTGAGTCAGATCATGGCCCTAACATCCTACAAGGACTCCCATTTCACTGAGAACAAATGTCCGGGCCTTGCAAGATCTATATGTGGTTTTCACTTCTAACCTCTACTTATGTCCCCACCTTCAACTCTGTAACAGTATCTCCTACTAACTTTCCTCTGGCTCACTCTGTTCTGGCCACCCTCACTTCCAAAAATATGCCACACAAGTCCTCTGCTCTTCGACTTTGCCTATGGTTGTGCAGCCCAGGATGCTCTTCCCCAAACAGCACAGGACCAGTTTACTTCACTTCTTTGCTTCAATGTCACCTTCACAACGAAGCCTGCTCTGACCACCTAATTAAAAAATTTGACATCTCCTGCCTCCCCACACTGTGGATTCCTTTTAACCCTGCTCTACTTTCCACAGCACCTATAAAATTTCTTATTTATTAGGCCTGCTGCTTGCTGCCTCTCTTTCCCCACTAAACTGTGAAAACAGGGATCTTTGTTTTGTTCACTAAACTGTTTTGTTTACCTAAAACAGTGCCTGGAACATAGAAGGTACTCAGTAAATACTTGTCAAATGAATGAATTAGCCAAATGGATCCATGAAAAGGACGTTTGCTTTTTCATGTAATTTCCTTTCTGATTATAAAAGTGTACATTGTAGAAAATTTGGAACATGCCAAAATCTATTAAAATAAAAAATCCACTCAGAGATAAAAATACTGTTATTATTTTAATGCTTTCTCTTTCTAGTCTTTTTTCAATGAATATTTGGCTTCATATAGTTGCCATCACACTAACTTAAGTATGCTGCACCACTGAAAGGTTTTAGTAAGGGAAAGCAATGAGACTGCATTTTTATCTATTTATCAAATAATCTCTATGCCTATAACTGGGGGCCTGAATTCATGACCCGAGATCAAGAGTCCCATGCTTTCACAACTAAACCGGCCAGGCGCCCCTGCAAGACTGCATTTTAGATGGATCAGAGATTAAGGAGACTAGTATGAGGAAACCTGATATAAATTCTAAGTGGATTGAGATGAGAGAAACATGACGTAGGACACCACCAGAAAGAACCTTTCTAATACTTAAAGGTGAGAAATGAAAAGGGTCTGGACACGGCAGTGGTGGGGATAAATGTATGACAAAGTCAGACCCCCCCAAAGCATTAAATAGTTCTTAAAAAAATATATCCAATCAAGCTTTCTTTTTAAATTTTATTTATTTAGAAAACTGGCATAATAATTACAATTCCAGTGAGGAGGGAATAAAATGGGTACTCTTGTTATTGATCAGAATGAGTAGAAATGGTACAAACCTTATGGAGAGGAATTTAGCAATTTATATCAAGGCCTTTAAAAATATTCATACCATTTAACTTCATATTTTCATTCCTTGGAGTCTAATCATATTGAAAAAATTTCACGTACAAAGATGTTCAAGACAGCATTGTAAGGAACAAAAGTAGAAATAGATGATTTGATCAATCAGTTAAGCAAACTGTAATATAATTTCTATGTAATGACATAAGGCTATTAAAATGTATATATGAAAAGGATTTCTAATAACATGGTAATTGTTTAAGCTATGTTACATAATATAAGCATAATCCAAGGCTATATCAGGTTTGACTATACCCATAAAAGAAAGATATGTAGAAAAAAAATCTTTAATGAAATCAATGAACAAATTAATAGTGGGTTTTTTTCTGTAGAAAGACTTAGCTGATTTATTTATCTATCTACTGTGCACTCATTAAACAGTTTTTGTGAATGTCTTCATTTTCCCATGAGCATGTATTTCATTTAGAGTAGAATCTACCATTTTAGATATGTCAACTTATGATCCAAAAAACACTGTGAGCATGGTGACAATCAATACTCACCAGGGCTGACACCAGCAGATGGGTCAGAAGAACAACAAGAAGGGCAGACCACTTTTTCTTCTCACAGCCATCAAAAAATATGATGCCCCAGAACACGTGCAGCAATATGATAACCAGCGTCATGAAAGCTGAAAGACAGCTAACAATTAGTGTCCAGTCATACAGACAACGGACAACTCTAATATATGTGCACAAAGTGACATACACAAGAATATTTATATCAGCATTGTTTATAATAACAAAACATTTCCATCATTATCAGAATGGATACCTTGTGGTGTATTCACACAATGGAATACTGTATGATTCATGACATAAATGATCTCAATAATATAATGTTAGTGGGGAGAAAAGTATATTGTGGGACAACACCTACTATTTATACAAAGTTAAAAACATCCAAAAACTATATTAAAAGGACATAACTGTTGTATATTAAAAGGATATAACTGTTGTGGTTGGAAGAAGGCAAGTTTTTATCTTTTTTTAATTTTTTAATTTTTTTAATTTTAATTTTAATTTAATTTTTTTACAAATAGTTTATTGTCAAGTTGGTTTCCATATAACACCCAGTGCTCATCCCCACGAGTGCCCTCCTCCATGCCCATCCCCCCTCCCCCCTACATCCATCAGTTCTCAGTTTTTGTCAGCATTCAAGAGTCTCTAATGGTTTGCCTCTCTCCCTTTCCCCCACCATTTCCCCCCTTCTTCTCCCCCTTGGTCCTCCGTTAAGTTCCTCCTAATCCTCCTATACGTGCAAACATATGATATTTGTCCTTCTCTGCCTGACTTATTTCACTCAGAATAACACCCTCAAGGTCCATCCATGTTGCTACACATGGCCAGATTTCATTCTTTCTCATTGCCATGGAGTATTCCATGGTATAGATAAACCACATCTTCTTGATCCATTCGTCCGTGGATGGACACTTAGGCTCTTTCCATGTTTTGGCTATTGTTGAGAGTGCTGCTATGAACATTGGGGTACATGTGCTCCTATGCATCAGCATTTCTGTATCCCTTGGGTAAATTCCTAGTAGTGCTATTGCTGGGTCATAGGGGAGTTCTATTGTTAATTTTTTGAGGAACCTCCACACTGTTTTCCAGAGGGGCTGAACCAGTTTACATTCCCACCAACAGTGCAAGAGGGTGCCTGTTTCTCCACATCCACGCCAGCATCTCGTGTTCTCTGATTTGCTCATTTTAGCCACTCTGACTGGTGTGAGGTGGTATCTCGGTGTTGTTTTGATTTGTATTTCCCTGATGAGGAGGGATGCTGAGCATCGTTTCATGTGTCTGTTGGCCATCTGGATGTCCTCTTTGGAGAAGTGTCTGTTCATATCTTCTACCCATTTCTTTACTGGGTTGTTTGTTTTTGGGTGTGGAGTTTGGTGAGTTCCTTATAGATTCTGGATATCAACCCTTTATCTGATATGTCGTTTGCTACTATCTTTTCCCATTCCGTCGGTTGCCTATTAGTTTTGTGGGTTGTTTCCTTTGCTGTGCAGAAGCTTTTAATCTTGATGAGGCCCCAATCGTTTATTTTTGCTCTTGATTCCTTTGCTTTGGGGGATGTGTCAAGTAAGAGGCTGCTGCGGTGGAGGTCAAAGAGGTTGTTTCCTGCTTTCTCCTCTAGGGTGTTGATGGTTTCCTGTCTCACATTCAGGTCCTTTATCCATTTTGAGTTTATTTTTGTGTACGGTGTGAGAAATTGATCTAATTTCATTCTTCTGCATGTTGCTGTCCAGTTCTCCCAACACCATCTGTTAAAGAGGCTGTCTTTTTTCCACTGGATATTCTTTCCTGCTTTGTCAAATATCAGTTGGCTGTATACTTTTGGGTCCACTTCTGAGTTCTCAATTCTGTTCCATTGGTCTATGTGTCTGTTTTTGTGCCAATACCATACTGTCTTGATGATGACAGCTTTGTAGTAGAGGTTAAAGTCTGGGATGGTGATACCTCCCGTTTTGGTTTTATTTTTCAGTATTACTTTGGCTATTCGGGGTCTTTTGTGGTTCCATACAAATTTTAGGATAGTTTGCTCTAACTTTGAGAAGTATGCTGGGGCAATTTTGATTGGAATTGGGTTGAATGTGTAGATAGCTTTGGGTAGTAATGACATCTTAACTATATTTATTCTTCCTATCCATGAGCATGGAATGTTTTTCCATTTATTTGTGTCTTGGAAGAAGGCAAGTTTTTTTAACTAGTGACATCATTTAGTAAAATGATGGCAAATACTTGAAAGTAGAGGAGGGATTTTAAAATATATTACCTTTGGGATGATCACAGACTAAAACTCAAATGATGTAAGGTACTCTCCTGCTTAAAAAAACAGGTTTGATGGACTGATCCTGTGCCCAAAGTCAAGTCCAAACATCTCAGATTACCATCGAAGGCCTTCTACAATTTAGACCCAAATTAATACCCTTTACTAATCTTCAAATATAACCTAGATGGCTGAAAACTAGAATTCTTATACTCTACGTCTTTGTGTTTTTACTTATTTTTTTTAAACTTTAAATTTTTTTTGTCCCTTTTGCTTGAATACTCTACCCTCAATAACCCCCTGACATTTCACCACATCCAAATCTTACTTTTACTTAAGATCTACCTTGCTGTCATCTCCTTGGTGAATTCTTTAGGATACCTACTCTTCATTTTTAGAAAAACACTCAGCACATATTACTGAGCACCTGGATAGTCTGGCCTAAAGATTCTGTATCGGAGCTCAGGAGCCACACAATCCCGAGATGGAATGCCAGCTCCATAGTGTGGCTTTTGGCAAACTATTTAACCTTCCTCACCCTCTGTTTCCTGTCTTTCAGAAATGAGGCCAATAAAACCTCATAGGGCTGTCACAGGGAAGAACAGTGCTTTGTAAACCACAGCTTTTTAATAAATGATACTACTATGTGCTATAGCCTCCAGATTCAAAGATGAGCAGGGCAGAGCCTTTACTGAGTTGTACTGTCAGGTGGGAAGGCGAGGCAAAGCAGCGAGCAATTACCACATTTATCTAAGTTTCCTAGGTACTGGGCTACGTTCTACAGTACACTCTTCCTCACTCTTGTAGATTATTTCTTCCTTTGACCTGGTATTACTTTTACACTTACCTTCTTCCTCCCTTCCCACTTATTCAATGTCCATTATGGGCAGGCACTGCTCCAGGCACTGGAGCTATCACGGTATACAAAACACAATCTCGTGGGACTGTGCCTCATCCTTTCAGTTTACTGTTTTATTAGCACAGTATCCAAAGGGGATCTCTCAGACATTTGTTAAAACACTGCATATTCTTACCTGACTGCTTATTTATTCAGCTACATTGCTTCCTGGCTGGCTTCCATGTCATCGTAAGCCTTTACCCTAATGTGCTCTTTAGAATACTGCGATTCACTGTTTATTCCCTCTGCAACTGGTTCAAGGTCCAAGAGAAACGGAGACCTGAATATCCTGCCACGTACATGTAGCTAGAGGTACATACATACTATATTGATACTTTTCTCTAGCAAATAGAATTAATTCCAACCAGAGGATCTGCTAATAGTAACTCTAGGATATTATCTTTTCAGTAGTAAAACTTTCTTGTTTCATGTTCCTAACTATAAAATTCAAAAAGACCTTCAGTGAATCTAACCCTAAATTTGCTTTGTTCTAATATTCTCAAAAGTAGAAAAAAACTTCTCTAACTCAATCATAAAAATATCACAATTTGTTTAGAATACAGATTAATAAAAAAAAAAAACTATAATTTCTAGTGTTTTAGAACAACTCATCAGAAACCGGAACAATTCTAACAAATTTTGTACATCTGTTTGTGAAACTGTAGCTGCTAGTTTGATAATGAACTTCCTCTTCCAACAATCTTTTGAGTCAAATTCTCTTGGTAAAGAATGTTTTAGGCTAACCTATTTTTAAGCAAAATGTTTCAGTGTTATCTTTAAGAGGCTACATTTACTACTTGGCTCTTTTGTCCTTCCTGAACATATTCTAAATATTTCAGCACACGGTTCCATAAACATCCTTCTTTTCATGCTTGTCCCTCTCTCCCTTATTCCTGGTATCTACTGTTCTGTCCTTGCAAAGACAGCAGCCTAAAACAGCAACTGATTCTAATACTGGATCCTACCAGCACAGAAACTGCTATCCTCTGGCTTCCCCTGACAACTGCGGAGTATCTCTAACTACGCCAGAGAGAGGCAAAGGCTGCCGCTGGGTGGTGGCAGCAACAGGCAGAGGACTGTGCAAAGCCAAGGGTTAGCCTCATCTCCCTAGAGACAGAACATGATTACTAATGAGCTTCTGGCTTCCTTTTCCAAATAAGAAAAGAGTCTGGGGTGTCAAGGTGAAGTAAGGGACTGCCCTCCATCCCTCCTGGTTGCAGAAACTGGATTCTTGAGAGATCTCCAGTGACCTAGCCAAAATAGAAGTCAAGCCATAGAACTAAATATTTTTTGAAAATTCCTTTCCCATAAGAGTGATTTAACTTAAAATTTAGCTTTAAAAAAAAAACAGGACAGTCCTGTGACCTAGTTATAATAATACAGAAACATATAGGGGCCCCTGGGTGGCTCAGTTGGTTGAGCATCCAACTTTGGCTCAGGTCAGATCTCATGGTTCGTGGCTTCGAGCTCCGCATCAGGCTCTGTGCTGACAGCTCAGAGCCTGGAGACTGTTTCGGATTCTCTGCCCCTCTCCCACTCATGCTCTGTCTCTATCTCAAAAATAAACTATATAAAAAAAGAAATATATACATATATTGCTGATCAAATAACATTCTCCAAGATTAAAAAAAAAACATTTTGAATACTATCTTATATTACACAGCAGTAAGAAAGGTGTAGTGCTATCTCTTAATATCAAACAGATCACAGAAGAGATGTTCTGAAAGCAATCTGAATAACTACTGGTGTTTAAGTAGCATTTATCATTTCATATTTATGAAAATGCTTCTGAAGTATGTTAATGAACTGAACAGACTGCCAAAGATACGATTTTGTTTAAAGTCTCCCTAACAAATGTTAAAGAATGATGAAATCCTCTCTTCAGATTAGTTCATCAGAGTGGAGAGTCAGCACTGGGAAACTTCTTGGATGTTTTCTGAACTAATCCCTATGTGATGAAA